CATACACACACACATACATCCATTTTTGAAATTGAAATTAATTTGAAAATTATTAAATTAATGAAAAGCGCATTAATAACAGATCAAAACTTTGAATATCCAAATATGCCAATTCAACTTAAATGAAATCAGACTATTAATATTTTCCAGGAACTTTTTATGAAGCAAGCTCTGCAGTGGGTAAACCATTTATTTGATTTGTGTTATCTGTTTCTTTCACTTATATACCACACATTTCTACATTCTCAATCAGTAAGTTATTTGTTAGGGTAAAATATAGCAATAGCGGTTTTTGAACATTCTGGTATACCTTAGAAAATATGCATGTATGTTTATGTGTGTATGTGTGTGTGTGTGTGTGTGTGTGTTCGGATACAATATTTTGATCGACGATTTCGGGAACACGGTTCAACTTATTTCAATGATTAAAAAAGCATTCGATTCCTCTTAATAAGAAGACGTGCTGATTAGTTTTTGGACAAGGCAGGTTCATCCGCTCCAAAGATACGGGGTAAAAAGTATCAAAAATCGTAATTCAACTTTGAAAGAAGGGAGCGTCCGATTGAAATGATTTAAAAAACATTTGTATTGATAAAATGAAGAACTGCTAATATTTTTGGGAAGGCAGGTCTAGGGGTCAATAAAAAAAAGTAAAAATAAGCTACTATTAGGTGGACAAAAATGATCATTAGACATATGCATATAATAAAATTATTAGATATTTCATAGATCTTTTATTAATAAGAACAAATTTTGTTTTCATTTCTATGTGTTCCGTACCAATGTTACCGTTAGACTGCGACGCGACCCTTACGCGCTTTGCGATTGCTTTTTGCAATTTGCTTTTTTTGCGATTGCTTTGAAAATAAGTTCAAAATTTCCAAAGAATAAAAAAAAAATCAAATTTTTCACAAAGGATCAATTTTTTAAAAACCAATTGAAATACTCAAAAATCTATTTTTTTAAGTTCTAAAAGAAATCGATTGTTTTTAAATATTTTAATTTTCGGTATGTGAAGTTCAGCAATTTGCCTTAAGGTACGATGCCATGCACCGCTAGTTAAACTACAATTTTTCTATAAAATTGTTTTTATGGCCACACAACGTTTGCCGGGACAGCTAGTCCCTTGTATTAAAACTTCTATTAAAACAATAATTATCACAACATATTATTGAATTCTGATTGCTCTTCAAAAGTTTATTTTTAAATAATAACTCCATTGTGGAAAAAGTAATTCTTTTATGTTTATGGTTTCCAATTAAAACTATATAACAAAACATATGGTGTTACCATTAATATGTAATAACTAATTTAAATTGATCAACAATCTGTATTGTGTTACCGAGTACAATATCATCTCGTTAATTCAACTTCCACAACCTGAATTTCACAGCAGATAATTCTCTATGGCAATATCCAATTTGTAATTAATGTTTGCAATTTCTCGGCATTTGCTATTCGTGTTCTGTTATTAAATTGACCTTAATTAATTGCGAAAACTGGAGCGAAGGTTCACCATTTTAGCCCTTCTGTTCGCTAAATTTGAGTATCAACTACAGTTGATCGTTAAATGACATAATAAATAAAACAGGAGACATATTTAATGATCAACGATGAAATGCATAATTTATATTCTGAAACAATTAAATAATATCTTTGATTATTGAATAATTGTTACATTCTAGCAAAAGTAATAAACGTTTTTTCATTAAGTGAAATCATTAAGTACAATTTTAAATAGAATATTTTCAAAATTTGATACGTTTCAATAAATACGAAATATTGAGACTCAAACAAGGTTTTAAAAATACATGTTGAGATTGGTATTATTAATTATGATCATAAATGTTTGTCTACAGTACAAACTTTGAAATAAAATATATTTATAATATATTTTATACATATAATTATTTTTTATCGCCAAACTTTACTTAGAGACATGACAAAGGTCTTAAATGTGAAATTTGAGGTACTCCCATATATTATTGTATACTAATGGTGCATGGCGTCGTGCTTTAAGTCAAATTGCTGGAACTTTCCGTACCAAAAATACATTTTTAAAAAAGCTATAAAAACTTTTTAAAAAAGATTTTTGAGAAAATTTTAAACTTTTTTTCAAAGCAATTGTATTGCATTCCAAACATTGGTATGGAACCCATAGAAATATAAACAGCATTACATGCTTATTATAAAAACTCTTTAAAATGTCTGATAATTTGATGTGCATATGTCTAATGATCAATTTTGACCGCAAAATGGCATTTTCTTACGTTTTTTTCTCGATCTCCGAAACCGCTAGACCTGTCTTCAAAAATTAATCAGTTTTTTATTTTGTCAATACAACTTAAATGTTTTGAATTATTAAAATCGAACGCTTTGTTCTCCAAAAAAACTTAACTAATTTTGGCACTTTTTACCCGTATCATCGAAACGACTAGACCTGCCTTGGCCAA